TGTGGATGGCTGATTCAGTATCTGATCCACCAGATGAAGATTTATGAATTGGCCTCAAATGGTAATTCGAGTGGTCCTTTACCAGGATTATTCATGACTGTAAATCCTCAATTACGCTCTTTGTTGCTTCCCAGACCGCAATATTACCTAGTTAGTTATCTCATATAATATTCATATAATTGAGGCATATTCGAGAGCGCATAGACAACAACCAACAATACTCAGCTCTAAAAGGTACAGTACTGCTTCTGGGATGCTAGAGTTCTAATTTCATGTAGTTATAACCCCCGCACTATAGAACTCTTTGTTGATGATTGGACAACAATATCAGCTGAATATTAATAAAATTTACTTTTAAGGCCCCTCATTTCTGTAGGAAGTTCCTTAATTACCGCGCGGCTAGGTTCATGCTTCGATTAAACGATTGACTCCACCAATCCAATCCAAGGATGATACCCCATTACATAAGCTTTAACCTAAAATTGGTGGTCACCTGACAAGTCGGCAGCGGACCCGACGCTAAAACCAATGACTAAGCAGTTAACGACGAGTTAGCCGCTAAAGGCCAAAAGTGCCTAACAAAACCCAGCTGCAAGTTGCAAGCTCCAGTGTTACAAACATCATCTGGATATCAAAAATGGATGCTGTGCATGATCGTGACATTGAGCTTCAGCGAGCGTCTGGCGAGCTGATTGAAGAATTTAGGACGAAACTTCCTCCATTACTGTGGAAACACCCTAATTCCGGAAAACGAGTAGTTCACCGTTGGGCAAGGGCAGCGAAAGTAGAGAAGTTGATCCTCCTAGTTAGTTGCTCCTTGACATCTTAGTTGTATATATTTGCGCGAACAATTCTAATTTAACATCGATAGTTGGACCCGTTCCAAGAGTGGCCACAACTGTTAGATCCTCACCTTAACTGGATACTCACGCACCTGACGGATGCTTTTTTATCATACCTTCTTGGCCATGGTCATAGTTATGGTTCTGTCACTAAAATTAAAGAGCCAGAAATGATCTACCCGCTAGCACGGGCGATATGCAAAATTATATATACCCTATGCAAGGTTCGAGGCCCGAAGGTAATATCTCGTTTGTTCAGCAATGAACCGAAGTATCTCGAACCCATGCTTTCAATGTTTATTGAGTGGGATAGCATTGTCAGCGCAGACATAAACAGGTCAACTACGACCGGACAGGGCCTGCCGCTTAACTGGGAAGAACGATATGTTATGCTTCTATGGCTGTCTCATCTTTTGTTGGCACCCTTTGACTTGACCTCCATTTCGTCAGAAAATATTTCAATTCCTTACCAGAACCTATCACCGTTCTCGGATCTCTCTTCCAAGACCCCAAAGCTTGCACTTGCAATCCTATCTATTTCACTAAAGTACCTAGTTTTACCGGGAAAAGAGCGAGAGGGAGCCGTCCTCCTACTATCGAGGCTTGCATTAAGGAAGGATATGCAACAGCTTGGAATGTTGAAATCACTTGTCGAGTGGGCTTTGGGACATTTGAAGCCCGGTTTAGAAATAACTCCTCCTTCGACATTTGCATGCATTGGACTTCTGTCTTTCATAGCGAAACTTGGAACCCTTGCTCAGGTTGAGGACATTGCACCGTTTGTGAGACCAATATTTAGCCAAGCTCTTGATCTGTCTAGAGGGAGTTGCGATATGTCTGCCACTGTGCAATCCTCAGCCTCCACTCGAAAACTATTGACCAAAATACTTCGTGAAATGAATACCCTCTCGTTAACACTAGAGAAGCGGCCGGACCTTTTACAGATCTCTTCAAACGAAGTCTCTACAATCTTAGAAGATACAATTGATTATTTTCTCCTTGCCGTTGGTGACAAAGATACGCCAGTTCGATTTGCAGCTAGCAAAGCTTTGAGCATGATTGCTTTGAAACTCGAGCCGGACCTTGGCGCGGATATATTAGATGCAGTGATCAGTGCATTGGACGAAGACGTTCTCTATGAGGAAGAGAGCGGTGAATTGATACCTAAAGAAAAGGCCCGGTCCATGATGGGTAGACTTATATTGAGGAGTTTCAAATCTGTTGATGCCCAAAAATGGCACGGCCTTATGCTCACACTTGGACACTTACTATTCCGGAGATCGCCTCCGCTTGATCGGTTATTTCAGCTGTTTGAATGCCTCGTTTCGGGCTTAACCTTTGAACAAAGATCGTCGACCGGTGCCTCCATTGGTGTCACCGTTCGGGATGCATCCTGTTTTGGAATCTGGTCACTTGCTAGGAAGTATTCCACGAAAGAGCTGGACTCTGTTGAAATCAGCACAACTGAAAACAGAAATAAATGCCTCTTACGGAGCTTGGCAATAGAACTTATCTCCTCAGCTTGCCTTGATCCCTCTGGGAATATTCGGAGGGGCTCATCCGCCGCCCTGCAGGAGTTGATTGGGCGCCACCCTGACTCAATCTCGGAAGGGATATCAATCGTTCAGGTTGTGGACTATCACTCCGTGGCGCGAAGGGAATTTGCTATGACAGAAGTGGCTATAGCCGCTTCCAAACTTGATAAAGTGTACTGGTCACCACTCATAGGAGGGCTTTTACGGTGGAGAGGGATTGGTGCTCCAGATCCAAAATCAAGAAGAGCGGCAGCTCTTGCTATTGGAGAGTTAAGCTTGCAAATGTCATACGCTGGGATAGGTACCGTGTTGGATAGGATTCTACATACCTTGTCTTTGACATCCTCGAACTCCGTTGAAGCTAGACATGGAGGATTTCTGGCGCTTTCAGCCACAGTTGACGCATTTCTTCGCTATGAATCCTCTAAAGACGATACCCCTGAAGATCCTGGCCCTGTGATTGAATTGTCTCGACGAATCCATCAGCTCTGGGGCATATTTAGCTCTTCATCGGGACCCTCAGTGGAAGGTTTGACTCTCCAAGAATATCGGCCAGACCTAACAGCAGAGGCTTGCTCGCGCTTGATATCCTCGCTTGCTCGCTCATACACTCTCTTTGGAAGCGATGTGCCACGCTTTGGGCTACAACTTAATAATGATTCTCTAGAAATGACAGTCACTATATTGTTGCTATGTGTTCAACGTAGTGACGATGAAGCTGTTGCTGCCAGTTCCCAGGCTGCAGTGGATATATTCGCTATTTTATCTGTAGAAAGGAAGTCTGCCATCATTCAGGAATGGCTTAGCGAGGTCCAATCAAACCGGAAAAAAACAACTGGTAGTGGTCAAATAGCCGCATTGGGTGCAGTTTATCGGCACTCTTCAAGTGATGAAAGAGAGAGGAAACTTATTCTTGACGAACTAATGCGCTGCAGTGGGCCGGAAGAAGCTGTAATTGTGAAACGTGTCTCCGCTGTGAGATGTATTCTGACTGGGGTACTCCCGTATCTCGGTAAGTACTTATTCTCACCTTTAAAGATGCATGCTTACAAAAACTGGAAATAGATAACACAGATCAACTTGAGAGTCATATCGGTGTATTACTTAATGATTACACTACTGACAATCGAGGTGACGTTGGATCCCTAATACGGACTGAAGCAATCAATGGCGTACACATGATCTTAGCGTCTCGCTTGGGAAATCCGATAGGCCATTCAAACGTGCATCATCTGATGAAGCATATCATAAGGCTAGCAGCTGAGAAGTTAGACAAAGTCAGATTTAAGGCCTGGAAATGCTTCGAGGTTTATTGGGAATCAGATACGGGCCTTCCTCCTCTGGAAACGAGGTTTGATCATTTCAGTGAAGTTTCAACTGTTGCTTACTTTTCACAGCTTATCACCCTGGTTCAAGTCGAATGGCTTCGTTTACCACTGATAAAGGGGCTCGTCACTTCCCTCACCGCTGGCGCCGACAGTCTTATCATCTCGTCCCGTACTGCTGTTGTGGAATTCATCAACAGTCAAAATGACAACACTAGATATCGCATGCAGAGGGATATCTTCATGAGCTTGCTTATAGTTTTGGAAGAGAATATAACAGATGATCGTTATGCTATACCCACCGTTGAGAGCCTTGCGTTTTTAATTGAAAATTGCTTCAATCCGGAAATACTGGAGCTGGATCCTGAGTATGTATTGCATTAAACTCTTGTTGCCAGTATTTGATTTCATACTAACGTCTACTTTCATCTAGCTCCATGAGGAAGCTCTTCCGCCTCGTCCAGAAGTTTCATTTTAAGTCGGCTAACATTCCAAGAATTGAATCTGCACTCAAGGCCTATTACTGCTTGTTTAACTATGAGCTCCTGAGAAAGAATATAGTGTCGAAGATGACAAAAATGCTGCTACACCCTTACCCCAAGGTATGAATTATTTTATCTTCCCATATTCTAATAATATACTGACGAATGCAAAGATTCGAGCTCTTACAAGCGAATACCTATTTATTCAGACTGGAAACAAGCCCCTGAAGACTGAGAACTGGATGCAGCCGCCGATACAGCTAAAGGCGACGGTAGATAACATAGTTCAGGCTATCTTGTGATTCAAGTTGAGAGGCAGTTCCATATAATTATCTACATAACCTATATAATTATTCGAGTAATAACTAATAACCATGTTCAAGATAAAGCCTCTGGACATCATATAATCTGAGTTATTTGCTTGAGCAAGCGTTAGAGGTGAGAAATATTCGAGCAAGCGCCTAATTTTCTATTAATAACTATTTGGCGTATAACTATTAAACTTCAACTGAGTCACGAGATTATACTAAGCCGGGCTGCATATAGCTAAGGTCTTTATTTACATCGTCTCACCCGCCGGGCATTACCTAATTGCAACTGATGGCTTAGTCACAATACCCGAGAGGGTGTCAGGCCATGTCACGTGAATCATATAGGTAGGTTCCATGGCTGATCTAACTGGTGGATCCAATTTCTTATCATCACGTGACAGCCCTTCGGTCGACGGTATTGCTACATTCCAGTTTACTGGCGATTCAAATATTCAATATAATTTAGAGGATAACAACGGAGAATAAAGCTTTACGCTCTGGGAAAATGGCCACTGCAGTTGCGTCAGGGTCATTGATACCCCCAAATCCAACGTTTGTTTTCTCCTTTCCCCTGAAAAAATGGACATCATATGTGCTAACTCGTTGAAGTGTCTATGTTAGTCTCGCCTTGCACACGTACCTTTTGCCCTTTTGGATACCTCTAGCCATCCGCTAACCACCTACACCGTGATGCTTGTGGGCTTGTTTCTCTCCCAATAGGTCCGGAATTTAGAAGAAAGAATTAAAGTCGAGCAACTAAAAGAAGCGCTAACCGAAATCTTCTCCGAGTACGGTTCAATCCTCGAGATTGTTGCGAAAACCAACTTAAAGGCGAAAGGTCAAGCATTCATTGTGTTTGATAATGTTGACTCTGCTACCCGCGCCATTGATGAGGTTAACGGCTTTGAGCTCTTTGAAAAACCGATGGTTTTGGAGTATGCGAAAACAAAAAGTGATGCAACGGTGATGAGAGAAGGAGGTGACGAGGAACTAGAGGCTCACAAGCGGAGGAGATTAGCTGAGAAAGGTGCGCACTCTGGCTTAAATGGAGAGGTTTATACCTATTATACTTTTGAATTGGGACTGACATTGGTTTTATCCATCAACAGAACGCAAGCAAGCACAGGAGGCCCTGGAAGCCCAGAAGAAGCTAAAACGACCTGCTGGTGCTGCTGGCACAGCTGGCGGACCAGATTCTCGCCCGGCAAAGGCGCAAAAGGGAGCTGGACTCAAACCTACAGGAGCGGCTGCTGCACCAGTCATTCCTGACGAATATTTGCCCCCAAACAAGATTTTGTTCTTAAGAGAGCTACCCGAGACATACGATGCAGATGGTTTGAGTGCTATATTTGGAAGGTTTCCCGGCTTTAAAGAAGTTCGTATGGTTCCAGGGAGAAAGGGTATTGCATTCGTTGAATATGAAAATGAATCTGGGGCGATCAGCGCAAAGGAGGCTACGTCTGGCATGGCTCTCGGGGAGAACGAAAAGCCGATCAAAGTCACCTATCAGAGGCAATAATTGGAGCAGGGCAAGGCATCATAGTGAGTGCTGTTTGTTCTTACGGGGATCCCCACGGTCGTTCAGGCGTTGGTTCGTTCAGTAGCCACCTAAGTATCCAGACGTCGGCTTAAAGGTATTCAATTTAGTAATCTATTAAAGTATACTTTATTTCAAGCATATCACAACATATATATAGCTCCTTCCTAAATTCTCACTACTATCGAAAAAAAATATATAAAAACCTAAAATATAACATCTTCATCGGCATCTGCCAGCATGTCACTTGGTTCTGCTCCATCTTCTTTGTTTCTGGCCCCTTGCTTCTGCTGCTTGGCCTTAATCTCGGCATCTAAAGCCGCAGTGTCCCTCTGTTTCTTGTTGGAAACCTGGATAGCATAATTCAGTAACTGTTGCATCTTAGCCAAAAGAGGATAAATTACCTTTTTGAGTCTGTAGAACTCTTCACGGTCCAGTTCATCAAGTTCTGAGTTGATATCTGCATGTATATTAGTCAAAATAGCCACTTGAACTTGATTCTCAGTCTACATACACTTAATTGTGTTCTCCGTTCGAGGTATGATAACGTGCTCGCTAGTGAAAGGAGGGCGTTAGTACTTTCAAGACATTTGCTGGTTAAATCACATCCATACATTGCATTAACTGTATCACACTGTCAGTTTTCAGAACAAAGAGTAGTAATTAAGATGGAAGTAACATACCTCGTCTATTCACCACCTTGATGACTTCATCCAGAATCACGAAAGCGGTCTGTTAAGGAATCGGCGTTAACAGAATGTATACCATCAGCAAGAAGTATACGAGGACTAACTTGTAAACTTGCAAGCTCCACGAGTGTCTCAACAGCCCTTGCATAAGTTTCACGGCATCGCTGAACTTGCTGCCCGCCCTTTCCAAGGCCTGTCAAGCCAAAATCATTGTTACCATCTGTAGTCAGGCTCTCAAACTGAGGAAGCAAGACACCAGAAACGTTCTCCTGTTTTGTCCTGATTCGGAAGTGAGCTTGTTTGGCAGACTCCTGAACCTGAAAGCCGATATCACCACCAACCGCGTACGTTACTTCGGCGAGGGAGAAGGCAGCAATCTGCATCACTCGGCCCATCTTCCGTTTAGCATCATCGATTCGCCGTGTGATCTCTAGTAAGAAAGAAAAATCAGAGTTCCGTCTACAGGCGATAGCTGGAACTGCGTACCTCGAAACCGCCTTAAGGTGTACAGAGGGTGGTTAGCTTTAGGTGCCCAGGTCACCAGTTCAGGAGAACATACTTCGTCAGCGCTTCACTCTTTCTCTTGAGTAGACTGTGGCCTTGTTCAGCTCCCTTAAGCTTCCCTTTCATCAAACCCAGAGACTGCCTGGTGGGAAACACCGCCTCGCGATCCTGGTTTGGCCCTTGCGGTCAGTTCTAGTTACTCTGACACGGTGAAATGGACGGAGCTTACCGCTGAGCCTGACATTGCGGATTTTAGCTATTTTAACACTTAAAGAGGATTTCTCATATGAAGAACAGAGCTCAATCAAATTTTTGTCTTCCTCGGGCCTCCCTCTTGGTATGGTAAAGAAGAAACAAACGATGTCATCACAATAATGAAAGTCCCAAACAAGCTCCCTGGGGTCCCACGCGTAACACGTGATCCCCACTCAACCTTGGGCAACCGCTGGTTTAAATAAGAATTTATAACTACTCAATGCGCTGGGAGGTGAGACGACGGACGACAACAGAAGACCCGGGACGACCCAACCGTGCGGCAGAGTATATCACTGGCAGCACACTTGTGCATATACTCAGTGGTGGCCTTGTGTAGGTCCCACTAGTGGCGAGCGGGAGGATGCCTGGGACTCTTGTTGGCTCACGGCCTCAGGAGCTGTCGTCTGAGCGGGACAAGATGGACTCTTCTCCCCGTCGAGATCTCTTTTTGATCGTGGGTTACCCTCTTGCAGGCGCGTACTTACGTCCGATTATGAGTGATTTAGAGTACTAATTACCATAGGCGAATGACGATGCTGTCTATGAACAGGACATCCTCCGGGACCCGGGAAGCATCAAGCCGTGGCTATCATATATCGAACACAAGAAGAAGAATGGAACACTCTACGAGCAGTCTTTTGTAAGAATGTCAGCTCGTTCAATGAACAAAGATGGGTGCTAACTGCCGGTGAAGGTTATGGAGCGAGCCTGTAGACAATTGCCCCGATCATACAAGCTCTGGAAGATGGTGAGCCTCATGGATGCGAACTCATTCCTTATGTCACCACTGGGACAATTCGTTGACCACTCATTTTATATATAGTATCTTGAACTTCGAATCAACCATATTCATGGGAGAAACCCTTCCACCCATCAAGCCGAATACAACAAGGTCAACGCGCTTTTCGAACGAGCAGTTGTCTTACTGAACAAAATGCCACGCATTTGGGAAATGTATCTCAACTTTTTACTTGAGCAACCACTAATAACTCAGACCCGGCGGACGTTTGATCGTGCTCTTCGTGCGCTTCCTATCACGCAACATAATCGTTTATGGAAAATTTACAAGTCCTTTGCTATCTCGGCATCCGGTGATACGGCAGTTAAGGTTTGGAATCGATATATGCAAATCCATCCTGAAGATGCCGAAGATTACATCTCGATTTTGGTCCAAATGAACCAATACAATGAGGCAATTAAATGGTACATCCGGATTTTAGATGATCCTCGGTTTCAATCAAAGAAAGGGTTAAGTCACTTTCAGCTCTGGACTGAGATGGTTGAGTTGCTTGTCAACAAAGCGAAAGAAATTGAAACTGGGCCTCATATAGGCATCAATGTCGACCTGATAATTCGAAGCGGTGTTGAGAAATTTCCTGACCAGCGGGGTAGGTTATGGGCCGGTTTGGCTACATACTGGATAACGAAAGGAAATCTCGAAAAGGCCCGTGATGTCTTTGAAGAAGGAATAACCACGGTCATGACTATCCGAGATTTCACTATGATATTTGATTCTTATGTCGAATTTGAAGAGTCAATCATTGGTGCCCTCATGGAGAAAGCCGCTGCTCGATCGGAGAACAGCAAGGTAGATGAGGCTGCTGATTTCGACCTGGACCTACGCATGATGAGGTTCGAACAGCTCATGGATCGTCGACCCTTTCTTGTTAATGATGTCCTTCTAAGACAAAATCCTAACAATGTTATTGAATGGGAAAAGCGAGTGGTTCTATGGGGTGATAACAAAACAGAGGTTGTGCGTACCTATACTGATGCAATCGCTACTATTAACCCTAAGAAGGCACATGGAAAATTTTATGAGCTCTGGGTCAACTATGCCAAATTCTACGAGCAAGGCGGGGATCTCGACACAGCCAGAGTAATCATGGATAAGGCTGTCAAGGTGCCTTTCAAAACTGTCTCAGAGCTTGCTGAGGTTTGGTGTGAATGGGCCGAAATGGAGTTACGAAATGAGAACTTTGACCGCGCTGTTGACATCATGGCAAAGGCAACCCAGGCACCCAAGCGATCTACCGTTGACTACTTTGATGAAACTCTCTCTCCACAACAGCGCATTCACAAAAGCTGGAAGTTATGGAGTTTCTATGTTGACCTGGTTGAAAGTGTACGAAGTCTCGAAGAAACTACACAAGTATACGAACGAATTTTTGAGCTACGTATCGCTACTCCCCAAACGGTTGTTAACTATGCCAATCTTTTGGAGGAGCATAAGTATTTTGAAGATTCCTTCAAGATATACGAACGGGGCCTTGACCTTTTTAATTATCCGGTTGCTTTCGAACTTTGGAACCTGTACCTGACGAAGGCTGTGGACCGCAAGATCGGCATTGAGCGACTACGAGACTTGTTTGAGCAAGCTGTGGATGGATGCCCGCCTAAATTTGCGAAAGTTCTGTACCTCATGTATGGGAACCTTGAAGAGGAGCGAGGATTGGCACGCCATGCAATGAGAATATACGAGCGCGCTACTCGCGCTGTCTCTGATGAGGATCGATCTGAGATGTTCAACTTCTACATCACCAAGTCTGCTTCCAACTTTGGACTTACGTCTACTCGGCCCATCTATGAGAGAGCCATTGCGGCTTTACCTGACAAAGAAGCCAAGGACATGTGTCTTAAATTTGCTGAGATGGAGCGCAGGTTGGGCGAGATTGATCGCGCAAGAGCCATCTATGGACATGCTTCTCAATTCTGCGATCCTCGGACCAATGCTGAGTTCTGGCAAAAATGGGAAGCGTTTGAGGTTCAACATGGTAACGAGGATACTTTTAAGGAGATGCTTCGTATTAAACGAAGTGTACAGGCACAGTACAAGTAAGTCCACTTTAACTGGATTCTATATACTTTTCGAGGCACAACTAATCACAGAATTACAGTACCGATGTCAACTTTATCGCTTCTCAGGCAATTGCTCGCAGTAAGCAGATCACGAAAGACACTATAAGCGAAGCTGCCGGCCAGGGAGAAGGAGCAGCCGATGCTATGGCAGCGTTAGAACGTCAAGCACAGGCGCCAATAGGCTTCGTTGCAGCCAGTACAGGCCCAGAAGGCGGTAACCGGACGGCAGAACCTGCTGTCCCTGCTGCGAATCCCGATGCAATTGACATTGACGACGAGATATAACCGGTCGACATTTCCTTTCCCTGGTAAATCAACCCCGCAATGGCCTATTTCTAGAAATATCTGGACACTTTCACCAACTCCCATTTACGCCTCGCGAGTCCAGCCTACGTTTATAATAGCATGCTCCTCACCTCCTCTCACTTTCTTTACAGTCGGTGCTCTACTATTGCTCTTTCTTTCCGCTAGTTTTCCATAAACTTTTGGCGCAGCTTGGTAACCCGCCCGATGATTGTCCTCCCTTCCGCTTTCGCTTCTGGCCTTCCCTATCATACCTATGCATTACTACACTTGCTCCCCTGTTTAGTTGTATTACTACAATTTCGAGTATCTCCTTTTGAGAGCCTGGGAAAATGGTGTTTAGTCGGGTTTTCTGGTGTTTGGTGCGGTGGT